TGAGCCCACAGGTTTGAGACCCACCTGGGCAACTTGGCGAGATCTCATCTCTACAATAAATCAAAAAATTAGCCGGGTGTGATAGCGCATGCCTGTAAGGATCGCCAGAGCCCAGCAGGTCGAGGCTGCAGTGGCCAGGAGCGGCCACTGCACTCCAGTCTGGGCGACAGAGTGAGACTCTAACTCAAAAACAAAACAAGACAAAACAAAATACCTTTCGGGATAGGCACCGTGATTCATGCCTATAATCCCAGCGCTTTGGGAGGCTGAGGCAGGAGGATTGCTTGAGCCCAAAGGGTCGAGGCTGCCATGAGCCAGGATTATGCCATAGCATTCCAGTGTGGGTGATAGAGTGAGACCCTGACTCAAAGGAAAAGCAAACACCAAAAATCTGGCTGGGAGAGACTGCCGTTCAGGATTATGCCATAGCATTCCAGTGTGGGGGATAGAGTGAGACCCTGACTCAAAGAAAAAGCAAACACCAAAAATCTGGCTGGGAGAGACTGCCACTGGGACTAGGCAATCCTTAGAGACAGCACAGGGCCCAGGCGGGGCCTGCCTTTGATATGCAAACTACCCAGTGATCCAGAACCACACCCCTGAGAGCAAAATTCCTTTGCCTTAATCATTACAGGGCCAGATCCAGCAATCGGGACCACCCCTGTGGTTTAGAGCCTGCAAGTTCTCAGAGGACAGAGGCCAGTTCTAAGGCTGCATCCTTAGCCCTTCTTCCTGGCAGGAGCTCAAGGGTCTATAAGACATGACAGAAGATGGGCAGTGGCTGACAGGCCCCTCCTCCTCAGTTGCTGTAGGCAATGGAGGATACTCTAGGTTGGTTATTCAGGGAACTCGCTGAAACAGTCTTTGTTCTTCTGCCTGCATTTAGAAAGTCCTCAGACATATACGTTGCCAGTACACACATCATGAATCTGATTACAACATTTTTATGGGAAAAAATGAAAAAGAAAATCTTCCATGTTTATGGCCAGAGACACCCAGACTATTACAGCAAGATCAGCTCTCATTAATAAAACAGAAGCCCCTTTGCCTTCTCACCCAAGCTCTTTCTATTAATGTACGGTCTGATCATCCCAAAGCATCACTAATTTGCACGGCAGCACTATTTACGTCACAGAACTGAAGGTGACAGACATGTCCAACTGCAGAGGGATGGGTGAATAAACCGTGACATGCTCAGCTGATGGGCCCTCCTGCAGCTTCTGGCAAGATGCCTACGAGAATTGGAAGTTAAGGGTGAGACACAACATCATAGAGGCAGCATGGCTGCCATCATGCAGAAGACATGAAGTAGAGGCGTAAAAAGAGAAAGGCAGGTTCAGTCTTCTGAGGTTGGTCCAGCCTGCCCCAACACCCTCAGCTGAGCCTGGAATGGAGGGTCAGGCAGCTCTACATGGGAGAGGCATTAAGTAAAGCGCCTCCCTGGGCTGTCCTGGCCTCACTCTGACTTGGCTACTATAACCTGGCAGAAAGGGCTGGTGGAAAGGATGGAGAGCTGACTGATGGGGGTGAAGAAAATAGAAAGAGAGACTAGAGAATATTACAACGACCGTGTTTATATGTTGGGACTGTGAGTGATTTTCTTTTTACATTTCTGAAGTTTTCAGCTTTTTCTCTAATACCTTTATTTATTTATTTATTCATTCATTTATCTTAGAGATAGAGTTTTGCTCTATCACCAGGCTAGAGTGCAGTGGTGCAATCACTGCAGCCTTGAATTCCTGGGCTCAAGCAATCCTCCTGCCTCAGCCTCTCAAGTAGCTGGGACTTACAGGTGTGAACCTCCTGCCTGACTAATTTTTGTATATTTTGGTAGAGATGGGGTCTTGCTATTGCCCAGGCTGGTCTTGAACTCCTGGCCTTGAGTGATCCTCCTCCCTCAGCCTCCCAAAGCATTGGGTTTATAGGTATGATCCACCACACCTGACCTCTAATGATGTTTTATACTTTGCTCTCATGGCGAAAATCAATGTCAAAAAATCATTTACTTGTTAATTGAGAACATCTTGTTATATTCTGCCCTAAGACTGTTGGCTATCGATACTGGGTGTATTTGCTTAAAAGAGCTGTTGATATGCAGAGAAAACCCTATGAGGAAACCTACAGAAGCAGTGGTGGGGACACACACAATAGCCTGTGTAATAGAACAATCTCAGACACTTGCTAAGCTCTTATGAGGTGCCAGGGATTTTCTGTGCTTTTTTGTGTTGTATCTTCACAAAAGCTGTAGGAGAGAGGTATTGCTGTGACCCGCATTTTATAGATGAGTCGGAGGCCCAGAGTGGTTAGCTCATGTAGTACTGGTAAGCGGGGAGCCCCAAGGCTGGAGCCAGGCAGTCCGTCTCCATGGTCTGCCATGTTCTCACGAGGCTCTACTGCTCCCTCTAGTATATGGGGTGGCGGGGGGGTGATGATGGGAACTAAGCTACGCTTCCTTTCATACAGGGTTCCTGTGTCAGTCAAGGTCACAGCCTCCACTTCCATTTTCAGCCTGAACAGAAGAGCCTGTGCAGATGAGTCCACTGATGACTCCCCCATCCCATCAGCGGAGATGGTTCCTAGTAACTCCTTATCTGTGTGTTATCTCAAGGCTCTGACCAGAGCACAGTCCCTAAGTTGCTCCTCGCTGCACACAACTCCATTGCTTTGGAGCAGCAAGCCCATGGAACCACAAGAGAATTCCAGAAAGAACCCTTGGAGAGGGTCCAGTTCTGCTGGAGTCCAGTGGACGCAAATGTGTCGCTGAAAGAAAGTAAGGCCTCTCTGCCACCCCAGGCTGACATGCATGGCAGGGGGCAAGGTGGGCAAGGAAACAGATTCCATGACATCAGCCATGCAAGACTAGTCTGAAAGGAATGACACTGGGCTTAAGAGAAAACCACTGCAAGTGAGACTTATAATTCAAAACAAAATATGTCGTGAGCAAAAGGGAATTAACCGATGGAGACATATCCTAGAAACAATACCCAGTCATGAGGGTCAACGTTGGAGAAGCATGAGGTGGATGTCCGTGCACCCTACTGTGTTCTCTGTCTCTCCGTCCCTGAGTAATGGGTCTCTACTTACTTTCTCTGGAACCGGACCACAGGGTCAGCGAGCAGGTCAGTCACATCAAGCTTCCTCCCCTTCTCGATGACGTCACGATGCTTGCGAACAAACAGCCACCCGATGTGGGAAAAGAAGAAGCCTCGGCGGGCATTGTGGGGGTCAGCATCGGTCTCTGAGTACTTGTGGTGGGCTCGGTGGTCCCTGGCCCACTCAAAGATGTCGTTCTGTGGAGAAAGCAAGAGCCTCTGTGAAGACCCAGCCCTCCAGAGATGTCCCCAGTCTCCCTCCCACACGGGTCCTCAGCCACCTGCACTACACTCTTCTTGTTGTCAACCCAAAATGCCTTGACCTCAAGCTCAACAGGCTGGGTGCACATGGAAACACACCCTTTTGGCCTCTTGTGATGGGAGACACTGGAAAGATGTCAGGGGCTGAATTGGCAGAGGCAGGAATTGGCAGCAGTTAGACTTCCGTAATTAAGAGACCCTATCTATAGCCGTGGGTCAGTGAGATCCACAGAGATTCAATTCATACTTAAAAAAAAATCTGGTTGGGTGTGGTGGCTCAAGCCTGTAATCCCAGCACTTTGGGAGGCAGAGGCAAGAGGATTGCCTGTGCCCAGGGGTTTGAGACCAGCCTGGGCAACTTAGTGAGACACAATATATCAAAAAATTAGCTGGATGTGGTAGCACATGCCTGTAGTTCCAGCTACTTGAAAGGGTGAGGTGGAAGGATCGCCTGAGCCCAGCAGGTCAACCATGGGGGTCAACCATGAACATGCCACTGCACTACAGCTTGGGCGACTGAGTGAGACTCCAACTCAAAAAAAAAAAAAAAAAAATCTGACAATGCTTCCAAATTTTTTAGAAGACAAATTAAATTGGGAAATCATGCTTTTGATAGGAAAATTAACCTGAAAATAAAAATAAATAGCATATAAGCCTCTTCTTTTTCATGACTATGATAGTAATGTTTATTCCATAATATTCCATCCTTGGTAGCATTCTCATTAGGAACTTGCCATTTCATAGATGTTGGCTTTATCCTGCTGGTAAGAAGGGAGGAAACTGTTTTATTCTAAAAGTTCCAATAGTTCATGTAACCCAAGGGGGTTCATTGAATTTTTGGTTTATTGGGCTCATTCAGTGTTGCTGGAAAGTTCCTCAACCTTGTTCATCCCATAGCTTTCTTGAAAATTTTAAAATTTGCTTAACCCTTGAGTAATGGACAGAGAGAGAGGAGGCAGAAAGTCCTTAAGAAGTATATGCGTAGCTTTGGGCTGGGTGCAGTGGCTCATCCTGTAATCCCAGCACTTTGGGAGGCTAAGGCAAGAGGATGGCTTGAGCCCAGGAATTTGAGACAGTCTGGGCAACACAGTGAGACTTCCTCTCTAAAAAAAAAAAAAAAAAATTAGCTGGGCATGGTGGCAGGCGCCTGTAGTCCCAGCTACTCGGGAGGCTGAAGCAGGAGGATAGCCTGAGCCCAGGAGGTTGAGATTGCAGTGAACTGTGATCATACCACTGACCTCCAGCCAGGACAACAGATTGAAACCCCAACTCAAAAAAAAGAGAAGTATATGCATAAGCTCTGAATAAAAAGAGAGAAAAGGGTGTCTGACAGTCTATATAAGGCCCACATTATAGTCTGGCTTATAGTAACATAGAAGAGATCTTTAGATTTTGCCAGCACATTGAAACACAGTGGTTGGAAGGAATGAAAGCATTTTATTATTTATAAGCACAGAATTCAGAGCTAGGAGAGATTTCAAGCGTCACTAAAGACTATCACAGTCCAAGAAATAATTTGTTCCTTTTGCATTGATGTTTTGCCTTATTGCAGTGCCTATAGAAAAACATGACATAAAAAAATAAAACTGTGTCCTCCATTCACAAATGGCAAAATTTCGGTTCAGAAGACATTTACTCAAGTTCATCTAGTAAGTCCAAACAGTGATGGAACAAAGATGGCATTCCTTGGTTCTCAGTTCATATTCCTATCAACAGGATATTTCCAGCTGGGTGTGGTGGCTCACGCCTGTCATCAGCACTTTTGGGAGTACTGCCTGAGCCCAGGAGTTTGAGACTAGCATAGGCAACATAGGGAGACTTCATCTCTACAGAAAAACTTTTAAAAAAACAATTAGCTAGGTGTTGTGGTGTGCCCCTATAATCCAAGCTACTTGGGAGGCTGAGGCAGGAGAATCACTTGAACTCAGGAGGTCGAGGCTGCAGTGAGCTGTGATCTTGCTACTACACTCCAGCCTGGGCAACAGAGTGAGGCACAGACTGGGGAAAAAAAAACAAAACATTTCTCTTAGTCTGCAGATGGTGGGGTGTGTCTTTTACAGAAAGTCTTACTTTTCTTGTTAAAAGGCTATATTGGTTTTTTAATTCAATGCCACCCAATTTTACAGGAACTTTAAGTAGAACACTCCAAAGGGCTAGAAACATTATTCTCACAAAATTAAGCATCATACTACAATAACAAAAAGTGTGGTAATGAAGGCAAGCTGGAACAGAGACCTTTTTGTTCCTTCTATCCAGATACCTACCCGACAGGTGCTGCTGATGCAATGGTACAGTGAAGCAAGGGTCTGGGCCATTTTCCAGATACCCGGGCACACCATCAAGCCAGGCACACTTCAAGATGTATTTTTTATTCTTTCTTTCTTTTTTTCTTTAACCATAAAGCTGAGTCCAGTGAAAAAGTGACTCAGAGAGCAAGACATGGGTCAACAACAGGGCAGAGAGGGAGCCAGGTCCACCTCCCCACCCAGGGCCCTACCTCCAGGTCTGCATTTGGCTTCTGCTCCAGAGTGACCAGGAGGGGCAGGTGGTGGGGGAGGGACCTGCCTGTGCGCAGCATTTGTGTGGGTGAAAAAGTGTGTGTGCCTGGGTGAGTTTCAGTATTGTCCACATGTGCTTTAGCAACAAGCAAAAGAGAAAGTCAATAATTCATGAGGTTGAAGACTGAGCAAGTGGAGCATTAAGCCCCAGCCTCGGTCATGTCTGACAAACCATCTCCTCTCAGGGTGACACAGTGCTGACTGCACTAATGCCTGCCACGCCACCGTCTCTGTTTCACAGAAAAGAAAAAAAAAGCAAAGCAATGACAAGGCCCCACCAGCCACAGCCTCTAGAGTGCAGGTCTCCTGTCTGTCCAGGTCCTGTGTGCACACTGTGATGGTGGCAAGGCTGCACTCGGCAGCCCTTCCTGAAGCCTAAACACTTGCACAGTCTAACAAATCCATGAAAACATGATTAAATCTGCAGCTCAGAGTTTATACTTAATTGTAGGATCTGGGAGATCACAGTCCTGAGAGGCAATCCCGTTAGCATCAAAAGTGGATACTCGCTATGAGTGTATTGATTTCTCCTGATAAAGAATTGGAAGGTTGGCAGGAGCTACATTTACTCCAAGAGCCCCAGGCATATCTGGGCATAGCAGTGGGGATAAGGAGGAGGACAGAAATAGGAACAGAACCAGTCAGGAGCATGCAGCTCACGTGTTGGTTTCATCATCAATGGCCGATAGAAATATACTGAAGGGAGGCAGAGACAAGAGGATTGCCTGAGTCCAGGGGTTCGAGACCAGCCTGGGCAACTTGGCGAGACCTTGTCTCTACAATAAATCCAAATATTAGCCGGGCACTGTGGCATGTGCCTGTAGTTGCAGCTATTTGGAAGACTGAGGCGGAAGGATCACCTGAGCCCAGCAGATTGAGGCTGTGGTGGCCGTGAGTGTGCCACTGCACTCCAGTCTGGGTGACAGAGTGAAACTCTAACTCAAAAAGAAAATAAATATAATGCAAAGCACATCATGAAAATGTTCCCAGTAGCTTCACTTAAAAAGTGAAAAAAGGCTGAGACTGGTGGCTCACGCCTGTCATCTCAGCACCTTGGGATTTGGTATATATTACATTAAGTAAAATACATTATTAAAGTTAATTTTACTTGTTTCTTTTCACTCTTTATTTTTTATTTTAATTTACTTTTTAAACTACTTTACTTACTTTATTTATGTATTTATTTATTTAAAGTCCAGGTTTCACTCTGTTGCCCAGGTTGGAGTATAGTGGCACCAGCATGCCTCACGGCAGCCTCGACCTCCTAGGCTCAAGGGAGCCTCAGCCTCTCGAGTAGCTGGGATGACAGGCACATGCCACCACAGCTAGCTAAATTAAAAAAAAAAATTTGTAGAGACAAGGTCTCATTATATTGCCCAGGCTGGTCTTGAACTGCTGGGCTCAAGTAATCCTCATGTCCCAGCCTCCCAGAGTGCTGGGATGACAGGTGTGAGCCACTGTGCCTAGTCGGATATTAAAAACTTTGTTAACAATTCAATGCTGCCTACTGGGGAGAATGTGAAATTGACACACATCTGGTGAAGACCAAATGGGCACCACATGTCAAAAGCTGTAAAACTATACATACCTTTTAATTGAGCAGTTCATTTTCTGAAATTTATCTTAAGGAAACAATCATGGTTATGTGCAAAAAGTTAACCACAAGGATGCTAACTGCAGTGAAACTTGGGAAAACCCTGAAGTTCCACATAACAGGATTTGACTGAATATCTTGTGATATATTAATTAATTAAATACAACTTGTGTGTTTACATACATAAAAAGATTTCACATACATATATACATAGAAAATTTCTGGAAAGAAATAGTAAGAGAAAAGTTTTAGAGTTACCTCAGGGGAGTGAAATTGGGAGGCAGAAATGAGGATAAATGATTTTATATTTTACCTTATGCTCTGAAATTATTAAAAAGAATTCTATGCTGGGTTTGGTGGCTCATGCCTGTAATCCCAGCACTTGGGAGGCTAAGGTGGGAGGATTGCTTGAGCCCAAGAGCTTGAGACCAGCTTGGGCAACAGAGCCAGACCTCATCTCTATAAAAAAAATAAAACAGTTAGCCAGGTGTGGTGGCACATGCCTGTAGTACCAACTACTCGGGAGAATGAGGCATGAGCATCACTTGAGCCCAGCAGGTCAAGGCTGCCATGAGCAGTGAATGTGCTGCTGCACTCAACCCTGGGTGACAGAGTGAGACCCCCAACTCAAAAAAAAAGTGCTATTAGTATTGTATTTAAAAACTAATAAACAAAAAAGGATATTGAAGTGTTGACATGGAAAGATGAAGAAAAAAGCACTGAAGAGAAAAGTAGTTTTTAAAAGAGTATGATAGTATGAACTCATTTTAAAATAAAATGTGTGT